CAGGCCTGAGCCACCGCACCCAGAGCTTCTTATTCCTTGACCTCGCCATGATCCTCACCTCCCAGTGTTAGCATACGTGGTTTTCTATATCTGGAACGGTCTTATCTTCTTCATCACCCAGCTTACTCCTCTCATCCTCAGGGGCCCATTTGTAGCTCGCCTCCCACTTCCATCCTCAGGGCTGGGTAATTTGCCCTTCCTGTGAACTCCTGTTGCTCCTTATATGCAGCTGTCATAGCACTTTGCACCAAGTAGAGAGTAAAAAAGGTAAAAGGACAAGAGATTTCTGTGTTCTTAAGGAAATGGGAAGTCAGAAAACAGAGGTAATCACTGTAGACTAATTTGGTAGTAAAACATGGAAGATGTGATGATTTCCTTGAATATTTTTGTAATGGGAGAGATCTGAAAATATTTGAAAGCAAAAGAGACAAACTTTAGGCAGGAAGAGTTTGGAATAAACAGAGGAAGAAGAATTAGGAGAACAAGAGAAAGATTGAGAACCAGACTGTAGAGATCAGGACTCTCTCTTGGCTACTACAAGGGGGATTGGTATGTAGTGATGAAGCAAGAGGTTTTATAACCGAAATATGCCAAGGCTCTGCATGAAATGTGAGTTTGGGGTTTGTGTATTTGGATAGGGGTTTTGGAAACACAAGGAGAGGTTTATATGTGTTTTAAGAATACCTAGTACTACTTTATCGGTTTGGCAGTACATATGAATAGAACCCTTGACAATGAACTAATGAACCCCAACAGGGAGGAAAAGAAAAGAGTATGTATTTGAAGAGATTGTATTTCCAAACCTCTACTTGTCAGGTTACATGGTTAGCCTAAACAAACAGTAGATTACTGTGCATAAATTCCGTAACTTCCTTGTTTTATGATCTTCAAGGAAATGATGGCTTAGTGTTGACCCTTTGTTCAAAGATAATCATTCTTACCTGAATAAAGATAATTACATTTCTAAAATTGGTAGGCAGATGGCTCTCAAGAGGGACATTAATGAAAGAAAAAAAAGCAGACAAAATTTAGAAAATGTCTTATTTTAATAAGATTCTAAATGCTATGGATGATTTTAGCTTAGTTGAGAAAATTTTACTGAAAGCATCTCATCCTATAATGTGAGTTAAAGACAAATTAATGATAAATTTAAGGTGTCTTCATTCATATCAGTAGGAAACTGACATAAAATGTGATCAAAGCAAACTAAATATTTTTACTTGTTATGAAGATCTGTTGAAATTAAACCAATGATATCATAAAGACATATAAGCAAAAAGTCTCTAAAACTTAGGGCAAAAAATCAAGGGAGGTTGGGCGCAGTGGCTGGTGCCTGTAATCCCAGCACTTTGGGAGGCCGAGGCGGGTGAATCACTGGAGGTCAGGAGTTTGAGAACAGTCTGGCCAACATGGTAAAACCCCATATCTGCTAAAAGTACGAAAACTAGCTGGGCGTGGCAGCAGGCGCCTGTAATCCCAGCTACCTGGGAGGCTGAGGCACGAGAATCACTTGAACTGGGAGGCAGAGGTTGCAGTGAGCCAAGATCGCACCACTGCACTACAGCCTGGGCAATAGAGTGAGACTCAGCCTCAAAAAAA